CTAACTTCTCTCCGGAGACTTCTCTCTCGCTGCTACTGTGTGTACTACAAGTTGTGTGTACACATTACTTAAAGTACTGGGGCCTCTCCCACTGTCCCTGACTCAGGTTGCCAGATATGCAAACGAATCCAGCTGGGACCATAACAGCTGAATAGACAAGAGTTTTGTCAACAACAAATCTATAACCAACACCTTTTTTACAAAGATAGAAATCCTGGTTTTATTCCTTGTTTTGTCATTAAGGATTTGGGAATCAAAACAAGACTTTTTTTAGTTCTGCGCCACATGGTACTTTACCCGTGAGATTAGCTCCATGCGGTGAGTTCTGGCGCCCGGATCACGGACTTTCTGATTGGTGAAACGGTGGAGGGCGGGGTATCAAAATGAAAACAATGACAAGATTTAGGGGCTGGAAAACTAATTTAGAAATTCGAATATCTCTGAACTACTGTTATCAGTTAAAGAAGTATTTGTAAAGACCATGTTTTATTAACGCCTTTTGACAGATTAGGGCCCTTTAATGATGACTTGACATGAAAATCTCACATATTGCTACTTTAACGACACAAACACACTTCGGGAGTAAACAACATTTCATCAAGATTGAAAGAAGTATGTTTTCAACTATCGGGAATACAACTGATTTATGAACACCCTAACCCTGACTCACAAGAAACGACGAGAAGTGACTAAAATGTAAATCTTTGGAACATGGCGCTCTGCTGAAGACAAATGAGGCACTGACTATTTGCTGAGCTCAATAAGACAATGTGACCTCAACGCAGATAAACCTATTTATAGAGAAAGCAATAACAAGACTGAAAACGGAATCTTAGCAACAGGCGCTCCAAGCAACTCTTTTATTTGAGTTGCTAAAGATATATTAAAAGTCACAGAAGACATATGGCATGAATTCAGCAGAAGAAATGTAAACTGTGATAAAGGTTAACACAGACACTGGGAAAATGCTATGGAAAAAAAACTGAAAATGATCTGAAAATAGAATGAGATAATATCACTTGAGATTTCTGAATATAAGAAAATAACACTGGCCCCAAATGACTTGATTCTAGTTTTTTAAACTTTTTTTTTTTATTTTATTAAAACTAGTAAAATAATCTTATGACAAACTACATTCAAGCAAGCAGATGATTTAAAGATATACAGAGTGCTCAAAATCTCAAAGTTAATGTACAGTTTTGGCAGCAAACAAGATTGAGAGACTCTGCACATTTATCCTCATTTATCAGCTAACGTGGAAGTGATTAGAGCCACATTCAAAGTTTAATCAACATTTAACCTTTTTTAGAGGGGGAGGCGGTTGTCGGTGACGTCAAGAGTGCTGAATTTGCTGGTTTTAGTTTGTCGGAGAATGCGATTGTAAAATATTCTGTTCTGGTTCAAAACTGAAACTGAAGCCGGAGCAAGAGGAATGTTTTGCAAATGTCATTGAAGCAAAGATGTTGTGGCTCTACTCCCCACGGGCTCCGTTAGTGGCAAAGGAGTAGTGATGTGCGATTCGTGAACGAATCGTTCAAAACTCGAGATTCACTTTACTGACTCGGGAGTCGTGATTCCCCGCCTCCATTAACTCGTTCACTAACTCGTCCGCCCACCACTTTCTAAACTGCGACCCCCAGACTGCGTTTTCTACTAGCCACAATGAATGACACTCTAATATTACGTGTGTGACTGTGTGTGTGTGTACTGTAGCTCGTTTGAGCACAGAAACCAAAAGCTTATTGTTTACAACCATCTACTTCACCGTAACGTCCTCCTTCCTGCCTGCCCGCGCCTGCTAGTACGAGCCGTACGAGCAGTGAACGACTCACTGTGGTTCTGGATCAGCCCCTTCCCGCTCCCCTTCGAGTCGTTCAGCTCTGAACGAATCGTTCATCTGATCTGACTCACTCACTCAGCATCAAGTGAGTCGAAACAACAGGACAGGACACCGACTCGTCTCGTAACTCTCGTTCTCTAACTGGGTTGAAAAAAGTAGTTTCTTTTGCCCCATCTGACAAAAAATAATAACCCTCTACATGTATTATGTGAGGTAGATTGAAAAATATAATTGGCTATATTTGTTCAGCTGTGTTTCTCTCGTCGGACAACAGGAGTTCCGCCTCGAACATTATTGGCGTTACAATGATTGTCATCAATAAAAAATGAATGTGTGAAAAATATCAAAGTTGTTTGTATTTATTATTTATATAATATAATTGTTATGACCTTTTTTTTTTTTTTTACCAGGAATGTAGGTTTTAACACGGAATACATTTATGTAACACCACATTTTTGGCGGAAAGTTTTAAATATTTTTATAGAAAATGGATAGTAACCGCAGAAGAAGCGATATTTGGATGCACTTTGAAATAACAGGCCCATCACGAGCAAAATGTCAACTCTGTTCGTGTTATTGTATTTCTTGTATTGTGACAGCCCCTCGCTTGGAATGTTGTTGCTGCTTTGTTCACAATTTTACTGTTGAATTGTTAAATTTAAAGAGTTTATATTTTGTCAAATTAGTTTACATATTTGTTATTGTTACCATTTATCAAATTTTAATAAATGTTTTGATTGTAAATTGCCATTTTGTGTTCATGTATGTTTTTTTCTGAACAACTGAATCACTGAATCAAATGACTCAAAACACCCGATTCACTTTGGTGAGTGATTCACTTTAACTCGAGTCAGTAAAATGAATCGAACTTTACATCACTACAAAGGAGATGGCTAAAGCTAGGCTAAATGCTAAAGCTAGGCTAAATGTCTCACTCACTTGGCCTTGGTTTCAGTTTGTACTTTTTGTGTCATTTATTAAATTATAATATTTTTGCAGTCCTTCCTGGTTCATCAGTGACAAATACAAGTCAAGGAGTTTCTAATAATTAACTTGAATCACCATTTTCTTTATTGGTTTGGTTGCTATGCAGTTTTGGTTGTTTTGATTGCTATGTGTGGTTGCTAGGCAGCAGAAGGCACTCAGATGTAAACAACCTTGCAGTCGGCAAACAGTTAGTAACAGTTTGCCGAAGTTACCACTGAGTCCACTTGTGTCTCATGTCTTCTATGAATGCAATGCCTAAGATTTATGGGTGTTTTGTTGTTCATTTCAGTTAATTGTTAGTTGTTTAATTAGCGGTAGTGTCACGTGGCAAAAAGAACAGAACCCAAAATGTAGAACTGAAAAAATAAGATTAGAGTAGATTAGAATAGAGGACACAAAGTAAACAAAACAGGGACGATAAAAAGTGAAAGAGACACGGCTTTGACAATGACGGAACGAGGAGTGAAGGAACACACAGGGTTTAAATACACAAGACTAACAAGACACAGCACACATGTGGGCGGGGCAGACACACAACAGGAAGTATAGTTCAGTTCTACAACACAATACAAAGCTGATATACATTTTTTATGTTTATTTTGTAGTTTCACACCCAGAGTCTACATCATCTCTGCTGCTCATGCTATTTAGAAAGATACATTTTATTTTTGTCTTCGCTGCTACTGGACACCTGAATTTCTCTACGGGGATCATTAAAGTATCTATCAATCAATAAAGCTTTTCCAAATGTAACCTGCCTCAGGTTCCTGACTCGTGAAGGCCGAGTTTACCTGATAATCTACGTTAACACACATTTACCTGATCATCTACGTTAACACACATTTACCTGATCATCTACGTTAACACACACATTTACCTGATCATCTACGTTAACACACACAATAACAGTACACACTTTGCACCCCGGGCCCAGCTGCACGGTGCTCACTGAACAACACCCACATAGTAAAGAAACCACCTCCACATGGAAATCAGAGAAAATCAGGGACGGCTTCAACTCTTTGATGGTTTCCTCAAAACGCCTCCACTTCTTAATCGTCCACAACAGTTGAATTTATGTCTTTGTGCTTACATAACTTTTCAATCATTCAAATGGAAAACCCAAGACTTGCATTTAATTTAAAATGACAACTTTATTTAAATTGCTCTTTAACACCGGAACAATCTATGCATTTATTCAGCGCCTCGGAGATTGCGATGGGGAGGACTAAATTACTGCTGCTGCCAGCAGTGGCAGGCCGTCATTTGGGGACAAATATATAACATACAAAATAATCATGTTAATGGCTTTAAATCAAAGCTGCTGCTCTTTCCTTCGGGAGCTTTATGCACTTCCACTTGGAGTTGGATCATACGGAAGTAGAAAGTGTGGGCATTACTCAGATACATGTTGGTGTTTTATGGGCGGGACAGTGAGGCCCAGCTGGTGTGTGTGTGTGAATGGTTGGTGGTGGTGGGAGGGACCGATGGCACAGACTGGTTGCCTTGCTTCTTTCTGTTAGTGTGTCCCAGGGCAGCTGTGGCTACAGCAGTAGTTTATCACCAAGAGACTTGAAAAGTGCTGTACAAAACCAATGCATTATTATTATTATTATTATTATTATTATTAATAATATTCATTATTTATTATTATTAAAAGCATGAATACTCTTTAATACACAGTTTTGAACCAGGACCCTAGAATACAGTGGCTTGGACTCAACATCTTTCACACTTTAGGCTTACATCTGGATTTCATTCATAACATTTGGATTTCAAAAACCTAAACTACTGGAGGAGAAACAATAACTAGTTTTCATGGTGCAAGGTACATTATTTTTACTGCAATCTTCTGATTTTTCCGAGTAGATAATAAGCCTTGTTGCATTCTGTGGTGAAAAACGTATTAGCTGTAATTTGCACCTTAGCGTTGTGAGCAGGTGCTGTTTTATTTTCAGTATCGTCTGACGTGCGAAGTGCTATAATTAATTCCATCAACTTAATTAAACTGACACGTACCACACACGGACGCCATCCGCCCGACTTTACACGCTCCATACACGCCGCTGTTTTAAATAAAGTCTTTCCATTTGCAACTTATTCAAAGCTAGAGGTGCTTCGTATGAACATATCTTTCTTCTTGGCAATTAAATCGTGGAGCCTGGATCTCCAGATGTGGCCCCCCGTCGCTCCCCCATCGCTCCACCGCCGCTCTCCCGCCGCTCCCTTGCTCCCTCGCTCCCCAGCTCTTTTTGAGGCCACCGCTGGGAAAACACTCACGGCAGGAGCGGAGGAACAGGTGCGCTCTGAGTCACATATACAGCCATTATTACGTCCAATTTAAAACCCTGCCAGTCCACACCCACTGCACCGAACCAGAGAACAAGACTCATTAGGAGAGGACGGGAAAGAATCGTTTGGAAAATGGTAGTTTAAATGTTGCTTCAATCTCGGCTGATTTGATATTTGCAAATAAATGGATCATGTCGTGTTACAATAGACTTATATTATAGCCTTCAGCGGCTCTGCTCCCCAGCTCTGAAACCCTCTCCCCTGCATGACACCAACTCCCACACTTTAAATCCACCTCAAAACTCATCTGTTTAGACCAAAGCCATAACTACTCCCTCCTCTGTCCATGCTGCTTTTAACTGTATTTTAAATAAATGTACTTTTTACTTGTATGTAAGTCGACCTTGAGAGTCAAGAAAGGCGCCTAAAAAATTATGATGATTATTATTATTAGGGTGTGAGTGCTCAGGAAAATTCCCATACATAATTACGTGAAATAGTGACAGCTGTTTCAGACTGTTGTTTTTGTATAACGCCCACGGGAGGGGCTTGGTCTTCAAAGATGGGGCTGAGTAGTCTCTGGTTGTAAAGGAGGAAACACCTATGATGCAGAAACTGAACGCCAACCAAAGTATATATTACACTTTTTCTTTCAAAAAGTGGAGAGGGCGGTTCTTTCCTAAAATTTGGGAAAATCGTCCTTTATACCTTTAATACAATGTAATTAGTTGCTCAGTTGGTAGAGCATTGGCCTCCGAGTCTGATGATTGTGGGTTCGGGCCCACCACGAGTCTTTCTCCCACTGATGTCTGCTGTTGTTGTGTCCATGGGCAAAGCACTTTACCCCACTTTGCCAGAAGCCCCCGCTGAAAGATCAAGAAATGGATTAAGGGGAAGACGATGGATGGATGGACAATACTCATCATAAATACTGCAGACTAATGTCCACAGTAGTATAGTATCTTCAACCTGTATATCCAGGTGCACGCTGCAGCATACTTCATTAAATCACAGCCCTATCTCTGTAATGGCTGAAGCGGGTTCATTTCTGCACAACGACAGCGATGGGAAACAGATGCCTGTGTGTTCCTTCAGGACTCTTCACGCGCCGTAATAAAGATGCCATCTGACAGATCCTGCTGTCGAACCGCCGCTCCGTGCACCACTGCCGGCGCTCCCTCTCCTGTGTTTTGTTCTATTTGAATATTCGAAGCAAAGGGGCTGTCCTCCCGAGAAGAGATTTAAAAGTCACTGAGGGGCATGTGGGGGGGAGAGGGTTTTTGCAGAAACAAGCCAATGGTGTTTTAGATTTGGCTCGTTAAAGGGGATATAAATGGGGGGAATAAGTTTGGATGATCCAGAAGAACATAATGAAGCAAAGAATATGATCTCCAGAGGCAAGAAATTAAAATATGAACGTTTACATATACAGTATCAAAGATTTCTCCTGTTCTGCATCTGTGTCTATGGATTTCCCCGTTATCTGATGTCCATCTCTCCCCTCCATGGGGGCTGGCTTGCTCCTGGCTGACCCCCCTGACCAATCCAGTGGAACCTGAGAGTGACCTCACAGCGAGTATAGAGACCTGCGATGGACTATTGGGTTCTTGGTCTGCGTCAACTCTCTATACAACATGTAGCAGTCCTAATGCTGAGGCCCAGAGCCTCTGGGGTTTTCTCTCTCTCTCCAACCATCTCTCTTTGGGGTGTGATATTTTCTGTTATGTCTGTATGTATCTTGTTATTTTTCAGTGTCATTAAATGTTCTCTTTTATTTATTATCTATTGGTTTGGGCCTAGTATGTACAGCAACAATTACATTTGTATGAAAACAGTGTCTTTTCACGTTTTGCTCCCCCCAATTTGATAGGAAAAAATGGGCAAAGCAAAAAAGTATGGGCACCTTAAATAATTAATACCTTTGATCAGTCCCCATCAAACCACTCGCTGTTGCTATAGTAACTGACCTGCTGAAGATGTTCAGTGAGAAAAACTCAGTTGTGGTCATAAGTGTTGGGTTTTGACTGATGTGCTACACCTGTGTCTCCCTCTGTGTATTCAGACCCTGTGCTCCTGTGTATTTAGACCCTGTGCTCCTGTGTATTAGACCCTGTGCTCCTGTGTATCTAGACCCTGTGCTCCTGTGTATTTAGACCCTGTGCTCCTGTGTAATAGACCCTGTGCTCCTGTGTATCTAGACCCTGTGCTCCTGTGTATTTAGACCCTGTGCTCCTGTGTAATAGACCCTGTGCTCCTGTGTATCTAGACCCTGTGCTCCTGTGTATTTAGACCCTGTGCTCCTGTGTATTTAGACCCTGTGCTCCTGTGTATCTAGACCCTGTGCTCCTGTGTAACCAGATTTGACCAGAATTATATTTTCCTTAAAAATAGAAACAGATTTGTCCGTTTTGAAATTTTGTCCAAATATTGTATTCCTCTAGTTTATCCTTACTCTTTTCTTTACCTCTCTTTTCAGACCGTTGCACCGAGTCAAAGCAATTTCCAAGTCTGTGACTTCCTTTTACTTTCGTGGCAATAAAAATGATTCTGATTCTGACTCTTAAAATCTTCAACATGTTAATGGTCGTACACTTGAAGGAATTTTTGCGAAAAGGGGTGAAAACGTATTTGTATGGCACTAAAATAGATCTGGATTTTCAAAAAAACTAAGTTTCCATGGTACTTATCTGTTTTTGCCAGTGGGAGCGGGTCCCGGCTCAAAAGTGGCCAAAATGACGGGTGCTGACATGCTGCAATACCACCCCGGGTTAGGGTTAGGGTTACAGGGAATTTACACAGTGCTCTCTGCGCGTACATTTTTTTTGGAGTATCTACACAGGCCGTGCGCGCAGGTCCGCGTCTTCTGATGCTCTCCCTGTGTAGACTATGGAGCAGTGTAGAGGACAGCAACACAAATCACATGCATGTGTTTGTCTTCATGGTCTCTGTGCGCTGGTTTGGCCAGACGGCAGACTTTTTGAAAAAAAAAAAAAACTATGTCCAGAATTACTGTAAAACCTGCTGCTCCTCCTGCTAATGTTTAGACACAAGTGCTGTGTGTGTGCAGATGTGATCTAGAGCCAAGGACCGCTAGAAAAATCATGTTTTACATGAGATTTCAATGGGAGACGCGTTGGTGCGCGCACAAAATTAGAAATCCATCCTAAATTAGAGCGCAGCTTCGCGTCATACGCGCGTATAACGCTAGAAGTGTAAATATCATCATAGGTTAACATTGAAAAAAGTTACGCGCGTCTGCTGCGCGTATAACGCGTACGTGCTGTAACGCGTGATGTGTAAATTAGAAGTTAGGGTTAGGGTTATTTGCCAATGCTAACATATAGCATCTTTACAGGATGGTCCAAAAGTTGGCTCTAGGTCCAAAGCTCCGTTCCACATGTGTGTCAATGCTGAGGGGGTGAATTTTTTTGGTAGTCTCTCGTTTAAATGAATGGGGCTCGTGCAGCTGACGCATGCGCAGATGCATTTTTTCACATATTCCAGCCCCTGTGGCCATTTTGAATCACTCCATGAAAGCCCAATTTTTGGCCCATTAGTTAACGGTGGAGATAGGCATGACTACTTCCGTTAACATTTACAGTCTATGGTTTTTGCATATAATCCACGGGGTAAAAACACATTAAGAACACTCAAAAGTACAAATCAAAGAATCAAAACCAGAAAGAGTCCTTTAAACACACATTATAACGCAGGGTCTGTCATTAACAGCAGGAAGCAAAGAAAGTGATGTGTTTAAAAAAACAAAACATGCATCACCTCTGAAGACGGCTCCGTGATCTAATGAGGTGATAACATTGAGGAAGATGAAGAGGAAGATGAAGAGGGGTGGGAATGAGGTGCGAAGCCGGAGAGGCAGCACGGCAGGGGGCCGAGCAGGGCGACTATCTTGATCTATTTGGGTTCGGTTCATGGAAAAAAGGCGCTTATGGATCTGGTGCAAGGACGGTTGGAACATGGCAAACTTTGATCGTTATCTTTGCATACTTTTTTCTCTCGTAACAAGTGTCTGTTCATGAACTAGAAAGTAAAGGTGTGATTTTTCTGTTGGTCTGGCCTCTCCTTTGTGTTAGGACATACAGTAAACCATACATCTTTGAAACTAGAACTATAGATTTAGTTTCCTCTGTGGTCTCAAGAATGTATTAATATTGTTAGAATGTCAGATCTTTTTGGGACGTGATTCAGAATTTGACCAGCAAAGACAATATTCAAGAGTTCAAATAAAAGGTTCCTTACGATTAAATACTAATACAAAACTCTCTAAGCTGCTATTTTCCTAACAAGACCCTCCAGGCCTGAAAACTAATAGAAGACCTCTATCAGGTTCTCACAAAGTCCTCTCTCTGTCCCTGCCTCAGACTGTCTCACGACATCGTTCAAAACAGTTTTATCAAAAAGTGTAGAAGAAGAGGAAGTGCCAACAAAGACATAATTTTTGTTCAATATATGTTAAAACAAGAGAGTCTGGTCTGGGTCTAGGTCTGGTCTGGTCTGGTCTGGTCTGGTCTGGTCTCTCCTTCCCATCTCTGGTGATAAGACAGAGAATCCTTGAAAAATCACTCCAAGGTTGTCCATTGTTTTACACTAAACTCATTGATCACTAACAAATAATAGGAAAAAAACACTTTGATTTAAAACATTTCATGATTAAATGAAATGTAGAATTTTATAATTTCATCGATGTTGATTCATGGATTAAAAAAAGACGCGTGCTCTGTCGGTTCTATGAGTATGTGCTGTGGTTAAAATCTATAACACTCTCCATCGGATTCTCCAGTTTGCCTCTTTGTACCACTTTTTCTGCTCTGGTTCATAAGTAAAATAATAAATGCTTCATTAGCATTTACCATAAAGTTAGCATTCCTCCAGTGGATTTTCACCTGATCTACTTGGTTCGGACCATGAATCCTCTCTGCTCTGGTCTGGACCAGTGTAAAACCATCAACACTGTACTGCAGAAACATCTCAGGCAGAAAAAAGCAAGACTGTTTCAGAGCTTCTTAGGATTTTCTGCTGTTTCCAGAGCATTCTAGAGTAAATAAAAGCCCCGATGGTCCCGTTTCCCTTTGCTCCTGTTCACTCCTCTCTAAGTTGTAGCTGTGTCGTTGTCACCTCTTCATTACCTCCGTGGCCCTCGCTGCAGCAGCCGCATGGTCTTTATCGTCTTAGATTTTTCAATTAATCACGTATGCTTCATGGCTCATTGGACAGCTCTGAAAGCCGTAAACATTTATCAGAGCTGAAGGCAAAGTGATGCAATCCACAACACCTACAAAGGATAAGATAGGATCAGGAGAACTGAGGCGCTATTATGAGAACTGCTGCACAATAACAGGTCGGAGACTGATGCTGCCATGGAGACAATACATGTGCAAAAGCAAACTCAATTATGATTTTGAGATATGTTTAGTTTATAAAGTGAACCTTGCAGGATGTTTTAATCTGGTTTCATGGACATGCAAAGGCAGAGACATTGTGTTTGGGTATATATGACGACGTAGACTTTCCCCCTGGGGTGTTTTTGTGCCTGCAGAGACTATTTATTGTACAGTATTTAGAAACAAACTGGGTCAAAGATCCAACAAGTGAAAAGCAGAAAGAGTGAAAAAATCTATTGTGTTGTTTGTTGCAGGAAACAACCAAGCATTGGGTTTCCTGTGTGCTCATCGATCGGAAAGGAGTGATTAATGAAGTTGCTGCCAGCAGTAAGGATCCATAAGTGTCTTCTTCACACGCTGTCCCGGATACAAACCTGCTGAAAAGCTATGGGCCCCGAACTACTGGGAGAACGAGGAGTGAGGAGAGGGGAGTGAGCTAGTGAGGAGAGAGGAGAGAGGAGTGAGGAGAGAGGAGTGAGGAGAGAGGAGAGGGGAGTGAGGAGTGTGGAGTGAGGAGAGAGGAAAGAGGAGAGAGGGGTGAGGAAAGAGGAGAGAGGAGTGAGGAGAGAGGAGAGAGGAGTGAGGAGAGAGGAGTGTGGAGAGAGGAGAGAGGAGTGAGGAGTGTGGAGTGAGTAGTGAGGAGAGAGGAGTGAGAAGTGTGGGGTGAGGAGAGAGGAGTGAGGAAAGAGGAGTGTGGGGTGAGGAGAAAGGAGTGAGGAGAGAGGAGTGAGGTGAGAGGAGAGGAGTGAGGAGAGAGGAGTGAGGAGAGAGGAATGTGGAGAGAGGAGAGAGGAGAGAGGAGTG